CCGGACATGTCCGGGAAAATCCGGACGTATGGTAACCCTACTATTAGGACTTATTATTCTTGCAAAGACAGTGATGCCAATTGACTTTCATCTTGCTAGTATAGTGGCTGTACCATTCTGCCATACCCTTTAATGACAAAAACACTAAACAGCAATTCATTCACTTCACCATCCAGTAGGTGAGTTATGAGCAAATATGAGTAGTGATTATTATTATTGCCTATTTTAAAGCACATTGTTGCTTTTATGCATGGTAGAAGTGGCATGTTATTGCACTCTTTATTTTGTCTTGTGATTGTGCTTTTATATTTCTGTGAAAATAAATTCTTCAGTGTACCATGCATGCACTGCAGATTTTATGTAACTTTTCAATGGTTTCAAATGCACAAGTTACGCCAGAACATCTCATACAAAAATAAAGCTTGAAAAAAAAATTATAAATTTTGCTCATAGTGATTGTAAAATCATGAAACAGAGCTCTTAGCTTACATCTGCCCCAAAATGGCAGCAACCTTTGGGCACCCAGAATGGAAGATAGCACAGCAATGTGGCATAATAATAAATTGTACTGACAGAAGATACATACCGGTACTTATTTTCTAAGAACCCCTTGGCAGGATCTACCTCCTATGTTGCAGGCTGGGAATCAGGTTGGCTTCCTGTACAGCCACGCTCTAGGTCCTGGGTTTTGACGAGACCCTTCACTGTCTTCCTCATCTTCCAGTGACTCTTGCTCACCATCAGGGGCTCAAGTCTCCATAAGGGTATTAAGTAAAAAATCCCATCCAGCTCTTCATAAAATGGAGAGGTCGTCGCTGGTTGCTCTGTATATTTTTCTTAGCTGTCTGTTCTTTATATTTCATTGATAGGCACCCCAGTTATGATCCGTTTTGGCCATCTACTTTGAGATCTCCTTGAACAGTATTTTTTTTATTGCAGTGGTTGGCCACAAGAGCTGCCTGCATTGTCATGTCTCCCACATGGTGAGGAGACCAAAGATCTCACCATGGCTCCAAGAGGCTGCTCGATGTATGTTGTGAGGAATCTGGAGTAATATTGCAATGCTGATATATTGGAATCCAGCAGCAAATGGGCCAATCTTGGCCCTGTGCCAGTTTTTAAATGGGGGAGGGGGTATCTGGTCAACTGGACCCCAAAGCAGGGGAGGGCACACAGGTCACTCATGGATGCCCACAAAGCAGTGTGGGGAAACCATTGGAGGACTACCAAAGTAACGAGCAGCAACAGTGTGTCCACATGAACCGCAGTCTGCACTAACTCAATTTGCATCAAATTTAGTACACATTGAAAAGACGACTCTAAAATTCACAGCAACTAGAAAGTTTAGGGATTTAAGGGTTTGTTTCATGTGCACACCGGCATTTTCAATCTGCACTAACTCGAATTAGTATGGACTAAACGCCCTGTGCAGACAGGCCCTGGTGTTATAATTTCTTCAGGGCAGGGACTGTCTTTTATTATGTATTTCTACAATGTCTAGCACAATGGGGCTTGATCTTTGATCTCAGTTGGCACCTCTAGGTACCACTGTAATACAAATAATACACAGAAGAAGGAAGAAAAGGATGGGAGGCAACGTTGTGGGAAGACAAGTAGAGGAGCAATGGAGGGTGGGATTGGGAGGAACAAGAAAATAAATCAGCACAATATCAGCAGCAGAGAGATGTGAGAATAGGAAAAGTGAGGTGGAGTGGAGCTGCAGCGGGAAGGAATCAGTCTTCGGGGAAAGAGAAGCGACAGCCAAGAGAAAGGATTAGCAGGAGAAAATCCACAGCACTTCTAAATGCTGCCTCCAGAAGAACAAATTATGTTCAGGAAGTAGTAGGAGTGATAGGAGGATCAAATCAGTTGAGCTACCATGATGGGTGGAAGGAGAGAAAAAAAACAAAGGGTGAAGAAGTGAAGGAGAAACAGAAATGGTGAAGAGCAGAAGGGAATGGTGCACATTTATTTCTATGCATTAAAATGCTTCCTGGATTGCATCTATTTGTTTAAAAACAGAAGTTCTGTGGCAGGACTCCCAGAACCGCATCTGGATTTGAGAATTAAAATCCGCCAGCTAAGGCAACTCTTGCCTTATCATTTCCCTTTAACACTAAGGGTATGTCTACACTGCAGCTGGGAGTGTGCCTCCTAGCCCGGGTAGACAGATTAGTGCTAGCTCAGCTCAGCACATTAAAAATAGCAGTGTAGAGGTTGCAGAATGGGAGGTGGCTTGGACTAGCCACCCAGCTTCAGATCCAGGGAGTCCGGCACAGGCTTGGACTCAAGCAGCTAGCTCGAGCCACTGCCTGAGCTGCAACTTCCATACTACTATTTTTAGAAAGCTCACTCAAGTGCTGCTAGCAGGCATCTGTTTCGCCGGGCTGGGAGATTCGCTCCCAGTTGTAGTGTAGACATACCCCTGGGGGCCCCACTGAATTTAATGAGGCCAGGACTTCAACCTATAAAGGACTAATGTAGGGCAAAAGAGTCTTGCACTTTTATACTCAGGTTTCTGTGTTTGATTCAAATAAACCCCAACATTAGTGATGTCATACATGGGAACACGGGATTATTCAAAATACACAGCTGCCCTAAAATTAAATAACAGGGGAAAATACCCTATAAAAAGATGCTAACTTCTGTGTACTGCCCTGACTATGTGTCTCATTTGTAAATTCAGCATAGAAAGTTTTAGCCGTTTAACAAAGTTTCTGAAACACTAAGGAACAAGGAAAACTGACCTGGTTATTGTAGCCCTTTCCTTTTGTACTTCATTTCCCCTAGGATTTAAAGTTATTTCCTTGTGCATGGTTTTCAATCGCCCCATCCGGATGCCTGTTACGTTGACAGCCCTTTTTTCTTTTATTTTCAGGAATTAAAAGGCATCAAAAGCTGTTTTCTTTCCAGTAAATAACTGTCACCTGAATGAGCACTAACTAGCCTGGTGATGAATAATAATGACTCAACTTCCACTTCAAACACACAAAGAAAAGTCTTTTTGATTCGTTCTCATTTGCCACACTGTCTTCCCCTAAATGACAGGATCATGTACAACGCAGAAACCTGTCTCAAAAGGAAAATCAGACCTCTCTATTCAAGATGAAATGCTTTAATGTGTGAAAATGATCTACATCGCAGTGGTTCTGCTCTATCTCCTGTTCTCCCTGCCCCCTTCTTTGGCTGTTTTGTATTTGGGATTTTTCTATCAGCCAATTTATTTGTTTTTTCTGATCTCAAGCATCTAAGCTAAAACAGCTGCCCCTTCCCTTCCTTTTGAAGCAGCAACTTTTCTCGTTCCCTCCCTATTCAAGAAGCATTTTATATCTTTCTCTTTGATATGTTTACAAACTTTGTTACTTTTCTTGTCACCTGTTGGTTAACTCAGCACACTCCCTTCCCTCCAGCAATTACTGAAAGACTCATTTTTTTTCCGACATAACCACATCTGATGCCTGTTATCACAGAAACTTACCGCCCATCCTCAAATAGCCTGTAAACAAAAAGTGGAGGGTGACAAGCGAAGTGTTAAAAACAAGGGTGGGGAGCGTGGACAGAGAAGTAATAGAAAGCAGCTTATAGAAAAGCTCTCCTTTAGCAACCTTAACTCTGTTTGCTTTTGTTTCTTATTTCTTTTGCAACCTATTGAAAAAGATACCGGTCACATCAGCCTCTGTGAGATGTTATAATATTGCCACAATAGCTACTGAGCATTAATTTCAGTATGTAATTCAAAACTCCTGTGTGACCAATATTTTGAGTGTCATATCAGCAGTTAGAGCTCTCAGATCCAGAAAACCTCTAAGTACTTGACCCTGCTCTAATTGAAGTCAATGGGAAAACTCCCATTTGCTATGAATGCACTGGGAAGATGCACCATGTTAGAAAGGGTGCTAGAGCAAACATGATGTTAGAAATGACAGCATGTCATGCAGATGGGGCCCAGTTGTGTTTAAAAATGTCTTAGCTGATCATAGTTAATCAGATTCCACCCAGGAAAAAAATCAAGTTAATATGATGTTAGTTAATGTTTTCTAACGTGTTTTCCAAGTGTAGACAAGGCCACCTGACTCCAGTGGCAGAGGATTGGGCTCTCCAGCTGTGACCCTGGTCTTGTTGGGGAAGTTCCAGCCTCTTTCAAAGAAGCCATTTGCCAAGCCAGGGAAAATGTGAGGAAGAAATATTTTGTAATTTTTCACTTTGACTAAACCAATTCAGTATTGACTGTTAGCTAATTAGTACTGAATAGTAGAGCTGAGTACAAATTGATATTTTGGCATTTGTTCTTATCTCAAATTGTGATGAAAAGTAGCAATATCAAAACTTTTCACGGAACCAGAAGTTTCACCAAATCAATCTGGAAATGTCAAAACATTTCATTTCTAATCCGTTCCATGTTAAATTGCATCTCCGTATTGTGCCGCAGTGCCTGATGGGAGGAGTGGTCTGTGCTCCTTGCTTAGTTTATAATGAAAGAGGTGCCAGGACCCAAGCAATTTTTTTACATTCATAACTGATGCAGCAAGCTCAGAGGTGCCACAGCTATGAACTGCCAAGCCTAGAGCTGCCAGGGCTCAGCCTTGGCAAGCCCTGGCACAAATCAAGTACTGCTCAAGCCCTCATTCTCCTGTATGGGCAAGGCTTCCTGGCTGGACTACATCTCCCATGATCCACTACAACTGTACAACTTCCATGAAGCCACAAGACTTGCTCCTAGGGGACGGTGTGGTGCATAATGGAAAAGGTAGTTGCTGGATGGAGAGAAGGGGGGCATGAGGCACCCGAACTACAGCCCTCATGAGGAACTGTTGCACCTTGGGCAGATGCAATCTAAGGCTGAACTGACTCAACACAAAATACTTCCGTTTGGGCTGAAATATCTTGTTTTGATATTTTCCCTCAGAAAAAAAATAAAAATTTTCAGTAAAATCAAAATTTCCCTGCTGAAAATATTGATTTTGTGGAAATTGTTTTTTCTGTTAAAAATAATTTTGACAGAAAATGTATAATCCACTGTACTGACCACTAAACACATGTCCACTCTGAGTGCTGGGTGAGTCCACCAGGGCAGGAAGGAGATCTAGGGAGCCCATCTGTAACTTTCACTCTATGCATCTGAAGAAGTGAGGTTTTTACCCACGAAAGTTTATGCCCAAATAAATCTGTTAGTCTTTAAGGTGCCACCAGACTCCTTGTTGTTTTTGTAGATACAGACTAATACAGCTACCCCCTGATACTCTTCTTCCCTCCTTACCTCCCCAATCCCTGGGCAGAATTACTACCTAGCACTCCAGGATTTGGAAGGGCCAAGATTCCATGCTGGTTGGTATACCATGTCCTCAGGAAGGTGGGACTAGTTTCAACTGTGTGCATCTAGCCTCATGCTGAAGTCTGGGCAGGCACTAGGCACTTAGGCCTACATCCTCCATGGTATTTAGGAGCCCAACTTTCACTGATCGGTGAAGAGACCAAAGGAGGTGGGGGGGAGGGAAGGAGAGGGAATTGGAGCATACAGGCAATCAGCACAGGAGAAAGAATGTTTACTCAAAACTCTGAGCAACTTGTATAGTCTTGTTTTGAATATTCCTACAGTTTCAAATCTCTTGCTCTTAATATCCCCTTTGAAACGTCAAGAAGCTAACCATAATTTTTGTTCTAGCTGTTTACTCATTTGAAGGGGATGGAGGTCTCAGTGGGAATTAGGCTATGTTCACCTACAGATATTCAGGGGTTCTGACTAAGGTTGAGCCTGGCAGAATTGTTTCTTGCCCAGTTATTTTGCATTTGTGAAACTTCTTTTCCTATAATTTTAAACCCATTTTTTTTGACGGGGGATATTCAGTTTTTTAAAAGACCCACCAGATTTTTTAGCTAAATGGAAATCTGTGCTGTGTATAAAAGAGAAGAATTCTCCAAAAAGCTGTCGTAAGTGGGTCCTCATATTTTCCCTGAACACTGTATTTATCAGATTATTAGATGTTTTTTCCCTCTCCTTTTTGCTACTCTTTTCACTCCCACCACCCCACAATCCCTACAGGAACATGAACCCAATTATATTTGAGTGCAGATTTCAAATCCATTAAGTCTGCATGGGGTTGAAATTAGGCAAAATATATTCACCCATGCCTAGTTCTAAAGACATCTTGGCTTAATGCACACACAACATGTGTAGGCTCAGGCCTGGTCTACACTTGCAAGTTTTTGCGCTAAAAAACAGCTTTTTCTGCTGAAACAACAGTGGCGTCTACACTGACAAGCGACTTTTTGCGCTGAAACGCCTCAGTTTTAGCACTGCAATAAAATCACCCTTACGAGAGTGATAAGTGTTTTTGCGCTGAGGGTTTAGTGCCATAGGGCTAGCGTGGACACCATTCTTGATTTTTGCGGTTATTGGCCTCCGGACACTGTTCCACAATGCTCATCCTGGCCACTCTGGTCAGCGCTTTCAACTCGGCTGCCCTGATGCTAAGTAAACAACCATCTGCCCCTCCCCCTTTAAAGCCCTGGGAATTTTGAAAGTCCCCTTCCTGTTTCCTTGGTGTTGCAGAGCTTGCATCGTGTCTTCCCAGCTGATCATGGCAGCTCCATGCAGGAAACAATCCCCTGCTTGGTCCACTGCAGAGCTACTCGATCTGATAAGTGCTTGGGGAGAGGAGACTGTCCAGTCCCAGCTGCGCACAAGCCATAGGAATTTTGATACCGATGGCCAGATTGCATGCATCTTACAGGAAAAGGGATATAACTGGGTCACGCTGCAATGCTGAGCAAAAGTAAAGGAGTTGAGGAAAGTGTACCACAAGGCGGGAGAGGCGAACTGTCGCTCCGGTGCTGCACCCCAGACCTGCCATTTTTATAAGGAGTTGGATGGTATCCTAAGTGGCGACCTTACCTCCACTGCAAAAAGCACCATGGATACTTCAGTGGGTCTGGAGCTGCTGGAAAGTGTATCTAACCCAGAGGAGGAAGTCATTGATGAAGAGGTGGAGTCTGAAGATGGGGAACCCCATGATGTGTCCAGTCAGGTGCAGTTCTGTACTCCAGAAGTGTCTAGCCAGTCTCTCCAGTCGCTCTCAGGTGAGACAGAAGCAGGAGAGCAGACCCCTGGTAAGTGGTTTTGCTTTGTGAAGTTCTGAAGTGGGTTGAGGGCAGAGACATGTGGAAGGCTGGCTTTGCTTGTATGTGCTGGGCATTTCCCCGCACAGCTAGGCAGTACGGCGGAACAGGGAGTTTATGCACTCTGCGATTTCATGGGAATTTTCCAGAGAGATCTCTAGGAAACTTTCCTTGAGGTACTCAACAATCCTCTGTCAGAGGTTCCTTGGCAGAGCTGCCTTGTCCCTTCCCCTATTGAAAGACACTTTCCCACGCCACTCTGCAATCACTTGGGCAGGGACCAAAGCTGCACACAGGCAAGCAACATAGGGACCGGAGCAGAAGCCGCAAGCGTGTAGCAGATGCACCCTTGCTTCCCTGCTTACCCTCAGAACTGAGATATCTTTCATAGTGACCACCGCCTGTGGAAAATGGTGATACATTTTAGAGTGTTGCCACCCCTTAAGTGACCTGCAATCTTTTCAGATTGCTTCAGTGCAATAAAAATGCCCTTGCCCCGGAGTTCATTCACCCTACTTGGGGTCTTCTGTCTCATGTGTGCTTGCCTAGGGTCACTGAGAAAGTGATAGGTATGTTACCAGCAGTGTGTTAATGTTACTGTTTCAATGCTCTGTGTGTACCTGAAAATAGTTCACAATAAACAGTAGAGCTATGTGTTTCCAGATTTCACCTTGAGAAACAACCGCCCTACAGCAGCAGAGCATCTGTGCAAGATAGGAAACTGGCTGAGACGGAACACGGAAGATATGTTCCAGATCATGCTGCAACAGTCAGAGGCTGAAAACACTGAACACAAGAAGTGGAGGGAAAGTGAAAAGCGGGAAAGAGAAGAGAAGGATACTTACAACAGGGATGCCACAGAGAGGCTGATTTAAAGTTATGGATTGTCAAACCGACATGCTCCAGACTCTCATAACATTGCAGACTGAGCAAATGTGTGCCCGCCCTCTCCCTCACAGCATTGTAAACTCTTTCCCATGCACTCCCCAAACTCCCCCTGTGCATTCCTTTCCACCTTCTGGCACTTTGCGCTTTCCTCTACACTCCACCCCCGCAGACAGCTGTTCCAATGAAAGCTGGACCTATACTCAACTATGAAAATCATCCCCCTTCCCAATTCTCCCTCCGCCCCCCACAACTGTGTAGATGGCTGTGTGTGTCTGTGTGTTGGTGTGGTTTTTCTGTCAATAAAAGCAGTGTTTTTATTAATATTCTTTCTTTATTTTCCCCACAAGGGATGATACCTCATGGCACCATGCAAATCAACATTTTTATTAGTCCCTTGCATTGAATCCTAGGCCTTAACAATCACAGTTGCTTCATAGGCTACCAGATTTAAGTAATCATTACAGTCCCAAGCATAGCAACAACCATTACTGGTTTTCTTGTTGGAAGTGTTGTTTCAAGGCATCCCTGATTCATACAGCCCCACGTTGCGCCCCCTAATAGACCCGATATCTGGCTGCTCAAAATCAGCAGTTATAACCATTGGACTATTTTCCTTGCTCAGGTCTAGCCTTCATATAGGCATCACCAGTGCACCTTTAAGTAGCCAAATGCACATTCAACAGTCATTCTGCACCTACTCAGCCTGTTGTTGAACCGCTCCTTACTGCTATCTAGGTTTCCCGTGTATGGCTTCATGAGCCATGGCATTAAGGGGTACACTGGGTCTCCCAAGATCACTATGGGCATTTCTACTTTCTGGTTTGGAAAAAAAGTCCCTGCTTGTAGCTTTCTGTACAGACCATTGTTCCTTAAAATACATACGACATGCACTTTTCCAGACCACCCCACATTAATGTCAGTGAATCGCCCACGGTGATCCACAAGTGCCTGCAAAACCACAGAGAAGTACCCCTTCTGATTGGTGTACTTGGTTGCAAGGTGGTCCAGTGCCAGAATTGGAATATGTGTCCAATCTATCACCCCACCACAGTTAGGGAAACCCATGTCTGCAAAACCATCCACAATGTCACGCACGTTGCCAAGAGTCACGGTATTTTGCAGCAGGATGTGATTAATGGCCTCGCACACTTGTGTTAACACAGCACCAGTGCTTGATTTCCCCACTCCAAACTGGTTCACGACCGACCGGTAGTAGTCTGGAGTTGCCAGCTTCCACATGGCGATTGCCACGCGATTCTCCACCAAGAGGGCAGCTCTCATTCAGGAGTCCTTGCACCATAGGGCTGGGGCAAGCTCAGCACACAGTTCTATGTAGGTGGCTTTCCGCATCTGAAAGCTCTGCAGCCACTACACATCATCCCAGACTTGCATAACTATCCAATCCCAGCACTCTGTGCTAATTTCCCGAGCCCAGAATCGACGTTCCACAGCATTCAGCTCCTCTGTGAATGCCAAAAGCAATCTAATGTTGTTGCTGTCCACGTTGGACACCATGTCAGGCAACTGTGACTGCCGTTGCCTTTGTAACATTTAGAAAAACTCCACTGCCACTCATGATGTGCTAGTGAGAGCTAGCAGAGTAGTGCAGGATCCATTCCTGCAGAGAGCTGTGGTGGGGAAAGCACTAAGGGACGTTGAAAAATGCTGCGAACTGAAGATGGAAGCACATTGAATGCTGGGACGGAAAGCAGTTCATTGAGCCCAGACCCATAATGCACCACAATCCCCTGTGTCTTCCCACAAGACCTAGCAGTAGAAGGGGGAGAGCTGCAATGTGGGATAACTACCCATAGTGCAGTGCTCTCATTGGCAATGCAAGTACCGCAAGGTGGACATGCTATGGTGAGGAGCAGGATTTTCTAATTGTACTATGAGAATTAATGTATGATTTGATTTCATCCTGCCAGCCACCCTTTCTGAATAGCAGAAAGTAATGACAGACCAGAACAATCCTTATGACTGATTATGGTCACCCTTTTGTTTTAGGATAAGTTATAATGTCTACTATGGTTTCCTATATGTATTACAAATTAGGCACTCTAGTTAAATATACATTTCTTTGTTTTAAGGTTTTAGTAAGTAACAGGATCTTGTATTGTGTCTAGGTTAAGGAGATTAGAGGAATGTTGAGGGCCTGAAGCCCCAATGTGAATTGTTTTAGTTATAAGATTTAACAAGGCTTGATTTACAATGTATTCTGCTGAATATACAATACTGCTGTCTGTATAACTTTGAAGGTTTCAGTAAGAAATTGTTTGTGTGAATGAGGAATGGATGCATCAGGAAAAAATAAGGTGTGAAAGCCATCACAAATGTCCAGATGGTCAAGAAAAAGTGAGAGACTTGGAAAAACCAGGAGACAATCAGAAAACATCCATTGTATCCGATGCTAAACATGTTAGCAGCATTGACGACCTCAGAGGTGAGGCAGGCACCTCCGAAGGCGAGACAACAAATAGGAGATAATGATGGGAAGCCCGACAATAATCATCAAATGATAACATTACTTAAGGACTAATGATTACAGGATGACATTGCAAAATGCATGGACTCAAATGGGAATGTACAACTATAAAGCTGGGGTGTTTTGCCATGGAACTCTGGGTTCAGTCCTGCAAAGCCTCGGAGCATCGGATCGCAACCGACAAGAGCCCAGCTCCTCACTCGTGCTCAGTCTAACTGGCCATTATATTGACTCGAGCTACAACAGACTGGTAACTATAAACATCAACTGGCAGGACTTTGTGTGCATGTGTGCGCGCGTGTGCGTGTGACTAAAAAGCATATGCTAACTGTTGTATTTTCAGTAAATGCAGTGTTTTTGCCTTCTCCTGAAAAGATCCCGTGTGCTTCTTATAAATATAACAATGGCGCCAGTGGAAGACAGTGTGGACATGCCACAGCGCTTTTAATTAATGCGCTTTAATGAAAGTGGTATAACTTTTGCTGCAGAAACTTGCTAGTCAGAGTTTTACTTTGTTGTGCTTTATGTATCTGAAGGTTATACTTTTAAGGAGTGAAATATGTAAAAACTTACATAAAATGTTTATATGTATTTTGTAAATAATGGGACAGATTCAGTGAAGCTGCATGGAAGATGTAAACTGTCCCTTCCTGAGCTCCCTGGACCCCCTGTGCCCTAGTTGGACAATTTTGCTGCTGCCACACTCTAGGGTTTTCCTCAGGTGCTGGAGGCCAGGGGAGGTAGCTTCATTTTCTGGCTGAGGTTTCACAGAAGTCCTGCTAGCAGAAGCTACAGAGGGGAGTGTTCATTTCTCTAAGTCGTACTTTGGCCAGAGCTGTGAACTCTGAGCTGGGATGGCCCATACAAACCCATTGGTGGACAGAAAGATGCAGACACTTTCATGCACTGCAACTCCTCCCCATTAGACTTTCTAGAGACTATACCAGGGGTCGGTAACCTTTCAGAAGTGGTGTGCCAAGTCTTCATTTATTCACTCTGATTTAAGGTTTCGCGTGCCAGTAATACATTTTAACATTTTTACAAGGTCTCTTTCTATAAGTCTATAATATATAACTAAACTCTTGTTGTATGTAAAGTAAATAAGGTTTTTAAAATGTTTAAGAAGCTTCATTTAAATTTAAATTGAAGTGCAGAGCCCTCCCGGACCGGTGGCCAGGACCCGGGCAGCGTGAGTGACACTGAAAATCAGCTCGCGTGCTGCCTTCGGCACGCGTGCCATAGATTGCCTACCCCTGATCTATACTGACAGAAGCCAGCACAAACCTAAGCTCAACCTGCACCTGGTTTACAGGCAGACCTAAAAAGAGAGAGGGAAACTTTTAAGTTTTGTGATTTTTGAACTCCACTTGATTTTAAGAGGGCTATAAATGTACCTCCCACCTAGAGATGGTTCTGAGCTGCAGAGTTAGAATTAGAATCCAAACTTTCCCAAATACTGGATATTCAAATCCGGGGTTTCATTCAGGCTTCTTTCTCTTCTCAGCTTTTTCATACTGCAGTGTGATACTAGCAGATAACCATCTCATCCTGAAGTGTACATGTAATCCCCCCTGCTTGTCCCCATTGTTTTTCCTTGTCCATTTACCCCTCCTTGTACCTTTTCCTGCCCCTTTCTATGGCTCTTTCAAATACAATATGAATGGTGAATGGGTTTTTCAAGCATAAAGTATTATATGATATGGACTATTACATTTATACTTTCACTTTCCGGCAATGCTTTGAGAGTCCTTACAAAAATTCCATTGTCCTTGTATTTGCCACTTTCTGATACACTTGATGCCACTTTGTAGATTGAGTTCTCTGAATAATTGCAACAGCAGAGTTTACTTCTCTTTTCTGAAACCAGTAGGATAAGAGGGCACATGGGAACGGAACCTGTGGTAAAGGAAACCTTACCGCAAGGCATCCCCACCCTGCTTGACTTCCCCCTGACATAATGCTACAGAACGCGTGCAGGAACTGGATGTACCCTAGGGTCATAGTATCTCTCCTGTAGGGATTGCTTCACTGTCACTCCTATGGGCTAGGATAGAAAAATAGATTTTTAAACAATGTAACTCTATTTTGCAATGTTGTGAAGCAATGGAAGATTCAGAAACAGCATGATTACCACAGCTTGCAGAAGTGTAAACAGTGATATTTGCATTGATGCATTTTATTTATTTTATTTTTAGCTGAAGGGTGATAACTAAAATACAAAGGAAAATCGGCAAGAGAAGGGGTGTTGGCTTGGTGATTTTAAAACATGAACTACAAAGGTTTTATGGGAAACAGAAAAAACATCTCACAAAGAAGTACAAGCAGTCAACGGACAGACGATAATACAATAGCATCTTTCATCCAGAAAAATCTCCAAAGGTTTTGCAAACTTTAACTGTGAGCTGAACAAATGGTAGGTTCACTTTCCTCAGAACCACTTAAGTGTATCAATAGTTTCACAGCACACAACAATCCTACACAGTGTTTTAGGTCAAGGAGTCAAGAACAGCTTTCCTCAAATAAAACCACAATTGGGCATGTAGTTAGACAGACTGGTGTTGACCCAAGTGTCCTGATCAAATTTCATTTTGGGTAACATTCCTACTATTGCCAAAAAGTACTTGTAGCAATTTGTTGACCATAAGTGGTCAGGATCTTGGTTTTACAAGAAAACACAGTGCCCCTTGCTACCATATTTGCACTTTTCCTAGCCACTTTTCCCAGAAGAAAGCTTGCCACCTACTGAATCACTTAAAACCATTCCCTGCAGCAGCCACCTCCATTTTAATTTCCAGGTACAGACCCAGCCAGACCTTGCTTAGCTTGAGAGAGCCTATAACCAAATATATGGTTAAAAATAACAAGGATTTCCCCCAAATGTGACATTTTAATTATTTTTTTCTTCTGCATCTCCCTGAAGTTTCTCTTTTGAACCAGCGTCCCACCTGTGCAGAGAAACCCCAGCAGGGATATCGGCAGCAGCACTGGTACAGTCAGCGTGTCAGGCTGTGCCAAAAATAGCTCAATCTTGACTACAAGTTTTAAAAAGCTATCAACATGTTATAGCACTGACATTGCAGAGAATGGTGACAGTGAGATAAAATAATACTGGCTCAGCAATATGAAATAAGCATTAACTTAGCTGATTCCCCCTGGGCAAATTTCTTGCTCCAGTGCTGAACAGCGGCACGACTGATATGACAAAGCCAATGCATGCTTGGCTATCTCAGCCCAAGCATTAATAGCAAAGT